TTTTTTTAAGTACTGGGAATCAAACTCAGGACCTTGTTCCTGCCAGGCAGGTACTGTGCCACTGTGTCCCCCTCTCCCCCTCAGTCCTTTCAGCCTAGAGTAGCTGAGATTACGGTTGTATACCACACCCAGCTCTTTTTTAGAAAAAAATACTAACAGCATCTAGTAAAGAAGAGGTATTCCAATGTGCTTTAATCCTGTATATGAATGTGTGACTCCAAGGTTTCCACTCCAAGGATGAATGGGGAACATATCATCAACACAGAAGAAACATGCTTGCCAATAAAATAGCTAGGTTCAGTCAGTAGGCTAAGTGAGGCAGGAGAATCACTAAGAGTTGGAACTAAATAATGAGAACTAAATAATAACAATAAAAAGTACAAATTGTTAAGAATATTACATTTAAGAGAACCTTAGACAAGGTAGAAGAGAAACTCAGTAAAATTTCTTGGTCTAATATAAGTTCAGAGAGAGACTATGTCATACAGTAGAGAAGCAATAAGATGGATTAATAAAAGCAAACAATAGCATAGAAAAAAGCGGAAGAAAATGAACAAGAAATCAAAAAATGACAACCAGCCAGGCGTGATGTAACATGCCTATAATCTCAGCACTCATGAAGCTGAGGCAGGAGGATCGCTGCAAGTACCAAACCAGCCTGGGCTACAAAGTGAGCTCACAGCCAGCCTGCATAGCAGGACTGTGTCTCAAAAAGACAAAATATAAATAAATAAATAAATAAATAAATAAATAAATGCTACGAATCTAGTAGGGCAAGTATGGTGAGGGTGTCATTCATGACTTATGGAAAAATTGTGCCAGACATGGTGACATACACCTGTAATCCTGGCATGCAAGAAGATCACCAAGGTCACCCTGGGCCACACAGTGAGTACAAAGCCGGCCTGAACTACATAGTGAAACTCTGTCTCAAAGGAAAAAAAAAATTTCAGCAGAGTAAAGGATATAGAAGTAAAACAACATAGCATAACAGAGAGGTAAATGAAGTCAGTAACTTTAAAAAAAAAAAGGAGTTTTTAAAGTTTAAAAAGATTCCTTTACAATAAGATGCTATCGTTTTAGGCAGAAAAACTGATGTAATGGAAAGGCAGAAAACAAGGAGAAATAAATCAAAGTTCCTCACCAGGAAGGTGTCAGAGAATGTGTCAGCAATTTTCTTCCCAGGAAAGAAAGATACAGGGAATTGCTAGGATGGTACAGGAGAGAACCTGTGAGACATAGTTTTGTCTCATGCACCAAGATTTTAACATTGGACCTCTATAATTTTTTTTCTTTTTTCTTTTTTTTTTTTTTTTTTTTTGGCGGAACCAGGGATTGAACTCAGGCCCTTGCACTTGCCAGGGAAGCTATCCACTGAGCTATCTCCACGGCCTAAATTTTTTCTTTCAAGATGGTTTCACTAAACAGTCCAGGGTGGGCTTGCATTTATTACCCTCCTGCCTCAACCTCATAGTGTGTTGGGATTACAACACAAGCCACCATGCCTGGCTAAGTTAAAGTCTCAATACTATTCTAAGAAATTCTAAGCTCTTTACCAGGTCTCTATAATCTCCTCCAAAGTCTTCCAAATGTATAGTTCGTATTTTCTCCCCGCTAAAATTGCTCATTGCACCTTACTCCTATCACAAGAATACAAAATGCAATCTGAATTTCTTTTTTTTTTTGTGGTACCAGGGATTGAACTCAGGACCCTGTGCCTTGTCAGGCAAGGGTTCATTCTACTGAGCTATCTCCCTGGGCCCCTCAATCTGAATTTCAAGGGCCTTATTACTTGAAAAAGGTACACCCATTCTACATCATCAATCGCAAAATGCCCTCTAGGGCTGGGGAGATAGCTCGAGGGCATAAGCACCTGCCTGGCAAGCCTAAAGTCCTAAATTCAATCCCCAGTACCAAAAAAAAAAAAAAAAAAAACAAAGTGCCCTCTAAAACTGTCCTGTTCATAATCTAAACAGCTAATTTAAAGGCAACACTATACAATACAACAACCACTGTCAAATTCCTATTATAAAAATGTTCTGTTCATTTAATTCCCCAATACAGGCCCTGTCTCAATTTAAATTTAAAATACAGGGCCAGGTGTGGTGGCACACACATGTAATCGCAGCACTCAAGAGGCTGAAGCAGGAGGATTGCTGTGAGTTCAGGCCAGCCTACACTACATAATGAGTTCAAGGCCTGCCTGGACTAGAGAGAGAGATCCTGTCTCAAAAAAAATAAAGAAAAAGGTAAACAATTATTAACAATAATAGGCCGGGGAGATGACTCAGTGGAATAAACACTTCTCTGGCAAGCACAAGGGCCTGAGTTCAATCCCCAGTTCCGGAAAAAAATTAAAAAAAAAAAAAAAAAAATTAACAATAATAATATTACACACAGAATAAAATCAGTATTTGCTAAGGATTTTCTAAATTCCTGCCCCAAGCATTAGGGCTTTTACATGCAGACCATTGAATTTAAATTAATCAGGAACAAGGGCTGGTGAGACAGCTCAGCAGATCAAGTGCTGAGCCAAGTCCAAGTGTGGTGGTGCACACCTGTAATCCCAGCACTGGGGAGGCTGAAAACAAGATGATCACTATAAGTCTGAGCTGCATATGGAGACACTGTACCAAATACATTAAAATAAATAGGAACAATCTGAATAAGTCATTACCATGAGTACACAGAATATTTTATTGCTTTTTGTTTTTTGTTGAGACAGGGTCTCACTATGTAGCTCCTGAGTTTATAATCCTGTTAGCTCAAACTCCAAAGTGCTGAGATTACAGGAGTACTCCAAAAGACCAGAGGACAGGGACCCAGAACCCTTGCACTGAGTTATACATCCAGCCCTTTTTTATTTATTTTGAAACAAGGGTCCCACTAAGATAATAAATTATCCATGCAAGGCTGATTTTCTGATCCTTCTGCCTGACCTTCAGGGTTGGACTATAATAGACTTGTACCACCACACCTGGCCAAGAATTTTTTTAAATTACATCCTTCCAAGCAGGGCATATGGCTCAAAGGAAAGCACAGTGGCAAACACCTTCCTGGCAAGCACCAAGGTCCTGAGCTAGATTCCCCGGGCCTGTCCCCAGGGCGTGCAGAGACCACAATTGAGTCTGGGCGGGGTGGCCAGCTCTGGTGTAATCCCAGATCTTGGGGAGGCTGTAAACAGGTGGATCACTATGAGTTCGATCTAGTAATGAGACCCTGAACACCCTGCAGACCCTTACCTAAAATACAAAAAAAAAAAAAAAAAAAAAAAACAAAAAAAAAACTAATTACCATATTAGACATACAATATACTGTGTATAGGCCCCAGGATCCAAGATCTGTTTTTAACCAATACTTTAGTAACATTTGTTTGCTAGGATATATCAAATGTTTAGGTTTCTATTTGCATGCTTCTGGAGACACATATCTTCATTCTTGTATTCAAATTTACATGTGAAACCAGGCATGGTGGCACATGCCTGTAACTCTACCATTTAGGAGGCTGGGATAAGAGGAATGTAGGAGTTGAAGGCAGCCTGTACTATATCGTAAGCCCCTGTCTCAAAAATAAATAAATAACTTACAAGTAAAAACAAGGGCAAAACTATGTATGATTAATTTTAAAATGAATCCAAAGAAACAGATGTCTTTCTTAACTAGGTTTTCAAATCAGGCTCATCACCTTAAAACGTCTAAGAAAATATAAACTCAAGCTAATCACCAAAGCAATTTCTCAGAAATCTACAACTGCCAAGGTAAGGAACCAGAGTATTAAAGCAGATCTAAGAAATGAACCAAAAAAAAAAAAAAAAAGCGACACACCCACATGCTTCCTCTATAACTCTAAGAGCATAGTAGAATAAATGTTTAATACACACAAATCAATCTTGACATATTTTTAAATTTTTCATTTATCAAATCTTTACATAATACTTCCAATGCATTTGTTGCTCCACAAAATAAATCAATCCTTTTTGGTGACATTACCAATGACCACAACAATGTGGCACCTGAGCAGAAACAAAATCAGTACCTAGTTAGGAATGGTGATGTACACCTTTAATCTCAGCACTCCACTCAGGAGGCTGAAGCAGGAGGATAGCCAAGAATGTGAGGTCAGCGTGGGCTACATAAGTGAATTTGAGACCAGCCTAAACTACAGAGCAAAACCTCATTTCAGAACAACAAAAAAACCATAATAAGAATCAAATATTTAAAGCTGAAAGGTTTTTTTTTTTTTTTTTTTTTTTAATAAATCAAATACTTCTGGATTTTAGCAGGGAATAAAAACCAAACCTAAAAATCAACTGGTCATTTAGCTAACTAAAAAGTCACATTCTGTATAAGTTCCAATAAAACGTTCACTATATACCACCCTTTAGCAGTATCACAAAGCACTACTGAAAAGCACAAATTACAACTTCTACATTTCTACTTGTGTCATCCCACTTGAAAATTTAAAACTAGAAAAGATTAGAGACCCTACTAATGATAGCAGTTATCAAACGCATACGACTCTGTGACTTAAACCACAGTTCAGAAAAATTAAAACAATTTAAACTGATTTCCAAGAAAGCTTTCTCATCTTAAACATTTTCAATCTGTGCCCAAAATATACTTCACCTGCAGCAAGTCACTCTCAACTAAAAAAATAAGACATGCCAATGTGAAAAGAGAACTCTAAATAACTATTTTGTTCACTTGTATTTTAAAAAGTAGGCTGAAGCTTTTTGTTACTTTGAAAATTTAAACCTAAACTCAAGCACTCTTAAAATTTTAACCTAGTTCTCAATGGAAAGATACTTAGAAATGCTGAAAAAAACAAAATTTTATAACTGATAAATTTAAAAATCAAATTAAAACAACACCCCCAAAAAGATTTTCATAGCTCTCATCTGTGAACTGACAACCAAAGACAAATCAGGTATGTTTTCCTTTAAGTGGCCTGTATATATACATTCATGTATATATTTTAAGTTGTACCGAAAACTGCTTACAAATGGCAATTCCTGTGAAGTAGATGATGATGAAGTTCCAGGTAATTCTAGCATGTTTCCTAATGTACTGGTACTGGAGTCTGGATCATCCTGAAAAGATAAATTTATTGAATTTAATTGCTCTTCTATGGTAATGTTTGTATCTCCTAGTGAAAAGGGGGCTGGGAGAAGGGCTGCTTTTTCATTGCTGCCGTCCACTTCATCTCTTTGCTTATTTTTCTGTGTTTCAGTCTGAGGAGCTAATGGCAAGAATGGCGGTTTGACTGCACCATGTCTACTCTCTGGTGTGCTGTCTTGTTCACTTCCCATGGCCACTTCTACATCATTCTCTGATTTAGGCTCATATTTGCAGGTGGCATTGGTCTGAGTGTCCTCAAAGATCTCCTCTATACTCTCATCGTCTGTGACTGGCTGTTCTGGGTCCATTTCAGAATCTACATCTGCATCGTCCACACAAGTAAAATTCTCAAAGTGCAGAAAGCCATTCTTGATAGTCTTTGTTACTTTTAACTGGCGTTCAGGGGAGTTATTACAAGAGGGTTCCTGTTTCATAGCAAGTGCTGTTGGACCACCAGGACTCAAGGAAGTGCAAACAATTGGCGACTGAGCTCTTGAATCACTTTTTTCAGGGTCTTGAAAGGATTCTGATCCATCAGCAGACCCATTTAAATATTCTACATTGATCATGGAGGCCAAATCCTGTAGTCTCCGCAGTGGAATGTAACAAGATGGAGAATCTTGTCCATAAGCATTTTGGGATGTTCCACTAGCAGTCGATAACTGCATAGTACACCCATTAAGTGGCTCAGAAAAATTGGATTGACCATTACCGAAAGGGCTGTCCTTGTCTTCAGGGGCATCTAAATTCACTGGATTGGAAAAAGGCAGCAGACAGTTTCTTCTAGACAGTTCACAGGTCTGATCCATCCTGGGGCGGCATCAACCTGGAATCCAAAAACACAGCAATTAATCTAAATTAATAGGCCAGCTGACTCGTCTCTTCAAAATGGCAGCCACTTCTCAAGGCCTAGTGGCCTCTATGCCTTTCTGCTGCACTTCCAAGGACGAAAAAAGTTCTCCTGACTGACGATGGAAAAATGGCTTCGGTGAGCCTCCGCAAACACCATCTTTCCGGAGCTAAGCAAATCCTGCCACATGGAAAAAGCCCGGATTTTTCCTGCACTGCAGACGGGTGGACACTTGGGCTCTAGTAAAAATTAAATCTCTTTGGCAGTCAAAATTCCCAAATCTCAAAAACAAGAATCCTCCTAGTCCTCCCCTGCCTGGTGTCCAGTGGCTGGACTTCTTGAAGGGTGGGGGCTGCACGGTTCCAGGGGGGCTTCTGGACGCTGCACAAAAAGGTACCCCTCCTCCTTCCTGGCTCGCTCGGGAGCAGCGGTCACAATAGCGCTGCACTCTGAGCCCAGCCGTCGCTGGAGCCTTGCAGCGGCCGTGCGCAGGCCGCAGGCGAGACCACGGAGGCGGGTGCACCCCGAAAGCTTGCCTTCTTGACTGCAGGCCTATTCGGTCCGCAGCTGCATGGTCCAAAGAACCGGACGCGGCCGGCATAGAAACCCAGGTGGCTGGAGAAGCCCAGTCAGGGTAGCAGCAGCTGCTACAGCTTGACAAACATGGCTGCTGCCGACGCCGCCGCCGCCGCCGCCGCCGCCGCCTGCACGGGCCGCACTGCTTCCCGCAGCCGCGCACCTCCCGGCCGCGCCGATCGCACTCATCAATATTCAGCAGCAAGCAAAGTTTGCTGCCCCCGCAGCCCCTAGTTGGCTACCTGAGGGGAGGCGAAGGCCGAGGTGCACGCATTGAGCGGCCAAGCTGCAGGGCAGGGGCCGAGCCGGGAGGAAGTTCTCAGCAGCCCGGCCAGCTAGGCCTGAGCCCGGCTGGTAGTGATGGAGGAGGGGGAAGGGGCCCCCCGCTTGCAGCACTGCCGGCCACCAACCCTGCGCCGCGCCCGACCCTCTCCGAGCCCCCTCACCTCACGGCTACCACCATCTTCCCCGCCCGGCCGCCTCCTCCCTTCCCATTGCACCCGCCTGCCGCCCACTGCTCGCCGCCCACCGCCCACCCCAACGCACTAGTTACCGTGCCCCGTGCCCCCTCCCGGGCCAGCTGGGGGGAGGGGGTGACCCTCATTACACTGGGGTGCGAGCGAAACGGTGGGGAGAGAGCGGAGCCGCTCACCGCACCCCCCTCCCCCCGCGTTTCTCTTCTGGTGAGAAGGTAGCGAGCGCGACCTGCCCCGGCCTATTCCGCCGCCGCCGCAGCCGCCTCCTCCTCCTCCTCCTCCTCCTCCTCCTCCTCCTCCTCTTCACATCCCCACCGCGCGCGCCCCCGCGGCGGCGCGTGCGACCAAGCGCCTCGCGCCGGGCCGCGTGCAGCAGCTGGGGCCCTGAGTGCGCGCGCACCCCTTCCCCCACCGCGCGCGCGCTCCCTCGCCTCACTCTTCGGGGTTCAAGGCGGGTGAAGTCGGGCTCGCGAGCGCGCTGCCCAATCAGCCGAGCGGCCGCTGCCGCCCCCTCCCCTCCCCCTGAGCGCCCGCGACGCGGCCCGGGCCTACGGGCCGGCCCGACTGCCCGGGCGGGGCCGGAGGCGAGCTCCCCAGGGGCCTCGCGCGACTCTGGCTGTCCGGGCCTGCGGGCGTCGTGGGTGGCATTCCAATCCCCTCACCTACCTCGGGGCGCAGCGTAGTCCCTGAGGCTGCGCACGGCTACAGCACCCTACCCGTCTCGAACCCCAACCCCAGCGGCACCTGGCCTGGCCGAGGCCCGTCCGACCGCCCTGCTCGGGCCCGCGTCAGTCCCGGCCTCCATCTTAGGTTACAGCCCAGGCTCCCCATTCACTGGGCACCTGCCCTCGGCCCGCTCGTTTCGGCCCGAGGCCAAGGCAGACCTCTTCCTGCCGTAGGGCTCACCTGGGGGCTGGGGCTGGGTCTTCGAGGCCTCAGACCCCCAGCAGGCGCAGCGGCAGGTGAACCCCCTGCTCGGCCGCACCCCAAACCCACACCACTACCACAGATCTAGCTAAGCAGGAAACAAAATGGAGGCAGCATCTCGGGTCTGCCTCCTCGAGCCAAGCCTGTGCAGCCCCAGGGCTCTCTCCTGCCGCAGGCTCGACGCCCGCGAGGCAGGGGGCTGTCTCCTCCCGGGGGCCGCGGGAAGCTGCCCTCAAGCAGCGCAGACGGGCCGGGCACTCGGCCCAGGGGTCCCCACAACCCCTCACCCACCACCCACTTCTCCTCCCTCCCCCTGTTCCTCTCCTCCCCCTGCCCAGCAGTGCGGGGTGAGCGGCTGGGGGAGCCGGGTCGGGTTACCCGCCCGGGCACTGCCCGCCCGGCCGTGGCCTCTGCGGAGGTAAGAGGCCCTGCGACCTCAGCGCTGAGCCCACCCCGGACCCGAGGCGGGCTGCAGCCTGACAGCGCGCTCGCACCTCGGCCTGCAGCCGTGCGGCCCCCGCCGGGCGAGGCCGAGTCTCCACTCGGCGGTCCCGAGCTACCCTCGGGGCCCGGGGGTCCTCGCCGCCTCGGGCGGAGCAGTGGGAAGAGCTCGGGGGAGGGGAGCACTAATCCCCGCACCGCCTCCGGCGCCCAGTCTGGGTCTGGGCCTGGCACTGGGGCTCGGGCCGCTGGCGCTGACGGGCGTGGGTAGGTGCGTGCGCGCCGGGCTGGGGGCCGGGAGGGGCCGCGCCTCGCACGGCGGACGCTGCAGTTCTCCGCACCCAGGCAGATGGCCCTCTCGTGCCACCGCAGCCCCGCGCAGGCCGCCGGCTCTGCGGTCTGGCTCCCCGGGAAGCGCGCGCCTCGTCCTTGCGGGACAGCCATCTGGACCCCGGCGGAACTGTACGAGGCCCCGCCAAGGCTGCAGGCGCAACCCCCGGCCAAGGGCTCTCTGCTGTGGGCTCCCAGGACCTCACGGCCTGCACCCAGGATCCGGCCCCTCTGCACCGACCTAGTGTGGTCATGGCGCGTCCATTCCTGAAAGACTGTGGAAAGACAGGTCCGGGAACCCAAGTCGGGTCTGATCCCGCCACTTAAGCCCCCAACAGGCTCTTCTCCCAGCCGGAACCCAGTTGCCTCCTGGGCTTGCTCCCCAGCAAGAAGCTCACCTCTGGAGCTACTTGGTCCCTAGAGCGCTAAGCTCATCCTCGCTGTTGAAAGAAGCCACAATGGACCGCCATAAATTTTTCCGCCTCCTCCAGAAAGCCTCCTGTGATTACCTTTGATGTTCACTCCATCTCAGATGAGGGCACCGCCCTCGAGGGCCACGTGATTCCCATTCCTCTCAGGGCTTGGTAAATGTTCATAGTTATTACCCCAGTGGAGCGTTTACTCAGCCCTCTGTTAATCAGAGCCCACCAGGGAGAAAGGCCACTTTGGGTGTTGCCCTGCATAGTGTCAGTACTGCGCTAGCTAAACTCCTCCTGACTGTCGCCTGTCCCCAGCAGGCAGACAGCATGGGATGCCACGAGTCTTTTGATATCCAAGACCCACAATGGAATATTGGGTCTCACAAGTGAACAAGCCCTTAGCATAACTTGAGTAAGTGCTGAGATGCCTACCCTGCCAAAAAAACAAAGCAAAAAAGCCCAGCAAGTAGGCTTTGCTATAGGAAAAGCGCCCCCTGGAACCGCAGTGATGAGAGTGCGCTGGAGGGCTCCTTCTCTTTAAAAGATTCAAGTATCCTAAAGAGTCTCAGCCGCAGAGTTAGTTGGCAGTTTTCTTTGTGCTAGAACCACAGAGGAGCTGGGTCTACACTGGAGTCACTGAAGCTAAACTCTTCTGGGCAATTCAGTGGGGAAGTTCTAACTGGTTTCTTCACACCTAATCATTTGAGACAATCGTTTCTGACTGACAATTATCCCTCTGCCAATAGCCCCAATTCATCAAGTCGGCCCCCACTCCCACCTTAACCGCTGAAAGACGGGGAGCTGCCACTATGTAGCCTTGAGCAAGTCCATTAACAGCCCCTCATCTCACTTTCCTCACCTGTGTCTTCCATGGCACATGGCAGCTCTGAGAATCTTGTAAGATAAAGTGGGTGAAGTGCTAGGAATTGACACTTAACCACTTAAAGACTAAGCACTTGATGAATGCTAAAATGTAATTCATTACTTCTTTCATCAACCATTTCCTGCATTGCAGGCAGTGTGCTGGGTACTAGGGAAGCAGAGGATGAAATGTTTGCATCAGGGAACCCTCAGGAAGGCAATTTAATAAAGGTGTTGAGATGCCTGGTGCCTGCACATCATTATCCTGCAGGTACTCTTCTCTCTGACCTCCTAGTCTTCTGGAAGAAGAGTGGAGGCCAAAGGGAGATTGGCAGCTGAGGATGAACTGGTTACTGATAAGCCTGGGGAAAAATACTGGATAGAACCCCAGGGAAAATCTCTGAGACTTCCCTAGGTGACACCTGAGGCGCTACCTGCCTCTTATAGTAAACTTAGCCACACACATAGGCTTCAGCCCCACCAGCCATTTCTGCAGCTTTTCCATGCAGTGGGCCCTGGCCAAGCCTCCCATGGTGTACCAGTACCAAAGCTGCCCACAGGTCCCTATACTCTCATAGCATACTGATTCTTAAAGCAGGGGAAGAAATGATAGAGCTAAGTCTTTGTAGGGTAGAACACTGGGGTATATATCCAAGTCTTTTCTGGCCAGTTACCTCAACTAAAGGACATTGGCATTTTTTTGTTGTTTTTCAGATAAGGTTTCACTATGTACCCTACCTTGAACTTAAACTTGCCATGTAGCTAGCCCAGGCGGGCCTCAAACCTGAGATTCTCCTGCCTCAGTCCCCCAAATGCTGGAATTGCAAGCATGCACCACTACATCCAGCTCTCCATGAACTTTTAGGGACCTGTACCTCCCATCTTAAAGTAGAAACAAGAATCAAAACTTGCTGAGCCTAGCAGCTAAGTATTTAACATGCATTTGTTCCTTTAACCTATAAATAATCCTGTGAAAAACTGAAATCTAAAAAAAAAAATTTTTTTTTTTTTATTTTTTTGGAACCAGGGTCTCAATTTGTAGCCCAGGCTGGCCTTGAACTCACTAGGTAGTCTCAGCTGGCCTTGAATTCTCAACAGTGCTTCTGCCTCAGCCTCTTGAGTGCTGGGATTACAAGCATTCTACCACAATCGATTTTATAAGATAAAAAAAAAGAAGCCCTTATGCAAAACCTCAGAGTCTCGGCTCTTACTTGGTATGATTGGCCTTCCAACTTTCTTTTATTCTTTACTTTCTTCTTTCTTTGAGACATGGTCAGGCTGACCTTGAACTCAGCCTTTCTCTTGCCTCAGCCTCCCAAGTGCTGGGATTATAGGCATGTGGCATCACACCTGGCATAGCCTTTGTTCTTAGCTTACACACCCTATAGACACAGTGAAAAGCCCAGGGTGCTGTCATAGGAGGTCAAAATTTGAATGCCAGGCAAAGTAAGCTTACCTTAGCCTTAGTTTCCTCATCTATGAATCATGGCTCCTGGTTATTCCTCACCTACTGGAATAGATATCTGTTGAGATTACTTGGCCAGGGGCTGGCAAGATGGCTCAGTGGTCTAAAGCACCTACTTGGAACAAGCTTGGCAAAGCACAGGGACCGCGGTTTGATCCCCCAGCACCACATGCCAACCAGCCCCGCCCCCGGTGGGCTGAGCTGGACACACACACACACACACACACACACACACACACACACACACAAAATAAATAAATGTTAAGAGATTGCTTGGCCAGTGTACAGTGACTTCTTATATCAAAACTACTTTTTTTTTTGCGGTACTGGGGATTGAACTCAGGACCCTGAGCTTGCCAGGCAAGTGCTTATTTTACTGAGCCATCTCCCCAGCCCCAAAACTGTTCCTTTTTGAACCAGGCATGGTGACATATGCCTATAATCGTAGCCCTCAGGAGGCTAAGGCAAGAAGAGTTGGAGTTCGAGACCAGTCTGGGCTACAAAGTGAGCTCAAGGC